ATTACCTTGCTAGGCCAGTTATGTTTTAATTTAATCAGCAGGAAAACTGTATTAATCAAAAATAAGCTTACGGTACAGCACAGAACATGTGCTGAAAACAAACATACAAAAAATATCCCACCAAGGCCTGAATAGCATTTCTGAGAACAGGGGAAGAAAACATATCACCTTGAAAAAAACTTGATACAGGAGAATGATTTGCTGCTTTGTTAAAAGTGAGCCAAATACAGGGAGATAATGAAAAGAATAAACTGTAGAGTTGTGAAAGAGGATGGACAGCAAATACTGTGTAATCTAAGAGAGAATGAGGACAGTGTGGACATAGGCCGAGCAGTGATGTTCAGAGCCAGGCTTTGTGCGGGTCTCTGTTTCACAGAGCTGAGTGCAAGATGGAGATGCAATGTGAATGCAGATGCTCATAAAAGACCAGCATCAGTCCCAGAAAGCTCGTGTGCATTAGGAGTAACATGTCCCAGCGGAGGGGATGTGGGACACAGGCTGGACACAGCTTCCTCACCCAGCAGGGCATTTCTGTTTCGCTCTTCCTTTCCTTTCTGTGTGTGCTGCCCGTGTGTAATATCGATGACACCCCAGACTTAAATCCTGGTCCCTGGGATGCAGCTCTTGTGACTTTCATTCCTGGATGACAAAATGTTCACCTCCCAACAGCTGGGAGAAAACTGGTCTCTATTTAAAAAAATATTTTGAGAGAAGTGGCATCTACTGGTTTCAGAGCTGCTTCAGCTGCCCTTATTTCAGACAAGGCTGCTGTTTWTCCATCACACCTGTTTGCCTGCCCCTGCCTGTGCATCAGCAGGGTTTGCAGTAAGATGTATCATTCCTATTCTGTCTTTAAAACATYTCATTTTTTTTTGCTGTGACTGCTCAGATTTCTGTGTGTACCATGTTCAAAAATCTTCTTTTTTTTCTTTTTCTTTCATACTTGCAGATATGATAAGCCAGATTCTGTTGTTATGCTGCTTTAAATACGGAGCCACGCTGTGGACTTAGCCCACATAACACCAGTCTTAGGTACACTGTCACCAACCTTCCTCTTCAGAGGTGCTCATGCTGCTATTAGCAGTGCAACTTGATTGACGGGACTTACTGGAAGCTTCATCTAGGTCTGCTCTGGGGAATTTAAATGACATCCATTTAAATGGACAGTGAATGGACTGTTCTCAGTCTGCCTTCTGCTGCCACTTTAGCAGGTTCCTCTGGTGGTTTAGCACCAGGTTCAGCCTTCACAGCTGAATTCTGATCTTCTAATCTCTGTCTTCCAGGTGGAGGTTCTGATTACYCCCTCTCCCCCCGGTGGAGTAAAGGCAGAAATGGGAGCTGCCTGTTGCTCTAGTGTCAATTTGCTTTTGCTGTGGTAAGACACACGAGAAAAATAATTGCATTTTGTTGCTGGCATCCAGTTTTTGTACCAAATGCCTAATCCCTTCCTGCAGCAGGTCTTGGTCATCTCAGGACATGTTGCAGATTTATGGGCCCTCAGAGATGTTGCTTCTAAAGATGACTGATTGACTTGAAAATGGATTTAAAAGACCTATTAACAGTCTGACCACAGTCTCCAACTGTGGAGATGACTGGGAAAACAAGGTTTGTCAGTTATTTCTTAGTAYCCTTGGGTGTTTTTGGCTGGGTAAGAGAGTTTTCCATAAGGCTATCTGGGCAAGTTAAATATTTCAAAWGTCTATTCAATGTAAATTCACTTCTACTAAGAAGCTAAGAACTAGCAAGCTGAACTTGTAAGCTGGACATAATAAGCTATGGTATAAGACAAAACATAAYCTTCTCAGGCTCTAGGTGACAGGTTTTCAACCTGCAGACAGGTTGAAAAAGGTACTTTATGTGGTGCTGCAAGAAAACCTTCAGGCTAGTGAAAATCTGAAGAAGTCTGGACTAGTTAAATATATCACTCTCTTTATGTTATTGATCCTATGTGAAAATTGGATCCATTTTCCCAGGAAACCTTTTCTCTTGAGCTATGAAAACATTTACTGATTGTGGATAAACTTATAATTCTGCCTAAGCTGCTTAGGATGTCTGGTCTTGGCTAGTATTAATGCTATGTGTGTCTGGATCTCCTATCACACAGTCTAGTAATTCAGTCACACAGATGACAGTTCCAACAGCAAGTCATGAAAATAGGCAAAATCTGCCCTTGCTAGCCTTGTCGATCAACAGCTGTGACCTTCTTGATCTCCTTGTATGGTATCTGGTCTTTGCATTTGTCAGTGATGGTGATCTCCTCCTGCCCCTGTCAAGCAGAAAAAGTGTCAGGAATTGTGTTGCTCTGAGAAGGCATTGTAATGTAATCCCACGGACGATGATGGACTCATATCAGGATAAACATCCTAAAGTTACTGCTCTCTGAAAAACAGCATCTTTCAGGTTTACCAGAGATTTTTCTTTTCTTTCTGATCAGTACTCATCATTAACAGTTTTGGGCCAACTAAGACTGATTTATATGGAAAGGCAGATTTTCCTAATAAGAACAATGAAAAATGTAATAATCCTTCGAAAGAGTAGTATTTTGCTGTCCCTCATGGAAAGCAAGATCTGTGATCATGAGGCTACTTCCAGGTGCCTACAGAAGGCCTCAATGACTTTCTCTTCCTGATCAGTAAACACCCACAACAGTGTTGCCCATGTTGGCCTTCACTCCAATCTTTAATCCTGGTCTTTAATCCTCACCCGTAAGCTTTGGATTTACTCATCACCCACCCCTAGGCAAGGGAACATTCCAGTTGCTCTCTCACATAAATAGCAATTCTCCCACCTCAGCTTCCTGGCCTGACTTCCCTAAAAAGCACAAAGCCATCTGTGATAGCACTTCAGTCATGTGTGCTCTCTCACCATGTCTCTGTAATTGCACTGGGATCACGGCCCTGTGCAGCACAGAGATCTCCAGTTCACGCTGTGGTGTGCATTGGTGTTACTGGCATTTCAGGGAGGTAACTGTGAGCAAGCAGGCAGGTTTCCCAGGAAGGGTGCAAGCGGATTCTCCGTAGCTTTGTCTCATTGGCTCCTCCCCATCTGCATGAGTCCACTGGAGGCATCTTGATTTGAGCCRTGTTACACTGACTGCCTTGTCACTGTGGCTCTCCCCTTCCTCACCTTGCCTAGTGTAAAAMCCTCCTGACCAGGCTAGCCAACCTATCGGCTAAGACACGCAGGCCCTGCCTACTGAACTGGCTCCCAACTCTCCCCATCAGTTGTCGATCTTCAAACAGGATCCCATGGTCATAGAAAACCAAACTCCGGTCACCAACACSAGTGGCACAGCCAGTTGTTAACCAGCAAAGTCCATCTCCTCCTCCTTCCCTTCCCTTCTAACTGGTAAGATTAAGTAGAAGGACACAAGGACAAGCACGCTGCCTGTGCTATGTTTACATTTATGCAGTTTAAGCTCCTATGGAGGTGGTCTGGGTGACCCACGCATAGTGATGGATCTGTGCATGYTACATGCAGGTGTTTGCTTTCCCCACTGTAACAAACCACCTGCAACATACCTAGTATTGCAGGGGACGTGTGAGCACCAGCAGGAGTGTGTGAGCACATGTATGAGCAGGTAATTTACAGCCACTGCTCTACTCACAGCACAGGGTCCAATCGAAGATAGCTGCTGCAGCCTCAGAAAATACTAGAGCAACACAACAATATAGGCCAAAAGCTGCAGAGGGTTTTCTGCTGGAAGCCTCTCTGCTGATCTATAAGCCAGCAAACTATGGAGAAGAAGAGGGTGCTTTGCGCACACAGGATTTTTCCAAGTATGCAGTAGATACAAGCTCTGCCCGTTGTGCCAGGAAAAGCAATCTTGGACTTAATAATATCTCCAGTATACAGTCAGTTCCTTTGGTACTAAGCAGATGGAGCCACAGCACCGCTAACTTCTCATTAGTTGCAGGTGATCCTTAAAAATGATAAATAATCCTTTGCTTCACATGTGTTTTAAAAATGTCTCCTCTGAATCCTCCAAATTAAAAAGCTTTTTTTTTTTTTTTGCAATGTCAGCACTGTGCTACTGAGAGATTATCTATTCATCTTACTGGAACAAGAGGTTAATTCCTGCCAAAACTACAGCTGAGTCATTACTAAAGATAACATAAATTACCATCTATTTTTGTTTTTCTGGCAGTAGCTAGAGAAACTCAAAATTCTACAGGTGAGGAGGTGATGGCTTGGTGAAACAAGAATGAAAGAGAAATTATTTATTTTGATCACACTAGGAACACTATTCCAAGAACATCATAGCAGGATRGTTACATAATAAGGTGATCGTAAAAGAGTGATTAAGAAAAGCAAAGAAAGGACAAAGCATAGATTACTGGCTAGTTGTGGAAGCTGTTGCTTTTTTTTTTTTTCCTTTCATAAGCAAAGCTGTACAAATAAAGTTTTTCATACTAYTTCTGCACAGCTAAATGTTTGGTTTACTCAATCTGTACATATTCTTTATTTCGTATAAACATACCAATGCTTAATTAATGCCTTCATACAATTCACAACGTTTAATTTAAATACAGCATTATTTCTTACTGACTTCATTTAAGGTGCAAATTATCAAAACCCATAGTAACTATTTTCTTCTTCTCTTCATCAGTTCTCTTTGGCACATTTCCTGGCTTATTTAAATACAAAACTGTAGAGCTGAAGTGATTATATAACACTGCAGGAACTTGCTTTTTTTTTTTTTTTTTTTTTTTTTTTTTTTTTTTTTTCCCTCCTCTCCAGACAGTTAATGTAAGTGCAGTTTTAGGTTTAATTTAAGCTTATTTACAAAGAAAGAACTTTATATGAATTTCAGTTTACAAGTAAAATGGTTAACATTTTAATGTGCAAGGCAAGAAAACTAGTTCATTACAGCAACTCCTCCTCAGAGAGAGTGATTTTTGCACCATGGAAATCTTGTATAAAATGCTTCAGAAATGGAGTTTGCTTGTGAGGAAGTTCTTGGTGGATCCCCTATAATAAGCCACCAGAACTCTTGACTTCCCAGGTCCAGAATGCTTAATGAGATACAACTTAGCTGGTATATTTATTGGCACTAGAGTAGTGTTGCAGCTACCAACTTGCATGTTCATCTGGGGAGTTAAACTAAGGAGCAAAAAACCCAACAGACTGTGTGAAAATCTCAGACAGTGTCTTTTTTTCTCTAACAAAAGGCATGCCTCCTATATTCTTTATATTAACTTGTAGTCTTTTTCCACATCAAGGAAAGATTTAGAGGTTGCTCTATGACTAACTGTACAGTCTATTTTCATCTTCACGACCTCTGCCTACTTTCAAGTGGATTAATATTTGGCTAGAGTTAAAGGTGGACAATAGTAAACTAACTTTTTTTCTGCTTCTGATGGAAATGTACCAGAAGGCCATGAAAGTGGACCTATATTGGTGATGTTTCACTTTACAAAAACTCTTCAAGAAGAGCAATTCATTTCACAATTGAAGGTTGATTCCCAACAGCTGGTGTTCAGATGAAGGGCATGGAGAAACCTAACTATATAAGCTTGGGAAACTCTGCCATGCCCTATTATTTGCAATATTTACAATCATTAAAGAAAACTGGAAGCTGAGATCCTAAAATACTTATTACAATGCCTTTCTGGTCTATCACWTTCTGAATAACTGTGCCCACGTGGTGTCCTATCAGCTGCAGAAATGAACAATTTGGCACATAATTAAGTTATAGTAGGTGTTTGGTACAGTGCAATCTGTTTAGAAGGCAAGGATGTTAAAAGTGATTACACATAGGTGTTTTGTAATGTAGGTAAGATGTAGAATGCTGTGCTACTCCTGAGAAAAACACATTTGGCTGCCCCAGCTACAATATCCATCTATGAACATGCTCATTCCAAAGAGGCATTTTGTAACCTCAGCAATAGTATATATTCTTTAAAAAATAACATATTTTACAGCTTTTCTTTTCTTCAATCTATCAGCAAAGACCAAAAGTGGTGAGTTCAGATTGCTGGGAGAGGTAATGGGAAGAGGGGTGAATGGGTAAGAGGAATCAGAGTCTGTGCAGTAAATCAAATACAGTTGAGATGTAATTCATTCTCAATTATCCCCTTAACTTTTTGAGATCATGCATATAGTCATGTCCTTTAGTGCACCTGCTTCAGCTGAAGCTTCTGGATTCAGAACTGAGATGTCTGCGTAAATGATATGGTGTCAGACTTATCCACGGCAAAGCCTCCATTGACGTAGGATTTCTTGGTCTCTGTTTCATCATTATCGAGCGTAGTTGTTTCCAAGGCAAAGGGATTGACTATGTTGACTTCAGAGGTGACATCCATCTGCTCCAGCTCCTTCTTGGAGAGTTTCTCCACTACCCCTGCACCAAAGGCATCTCCCAAGACATTCACCATTGTTCTGAATCGATCCCTATGGAATAAAAATGAGAGCAGACCAGTCATTCTGTATGTTACTTAGAAAATCATTTTAGTAAAAGTAAGCTACTGTTGGAAATGCACAGCAACAGCTGTTTGCAAGTGCAGATCCTGTGTAATTCTGGTATTAAAAAAAAGTTGTACAGTGAGTGAGGAATAGAACTTTCCTCACAGGTACTTGAAAAAAACCTCTAGAGTAATTGCTGTGATAAATGACTTTGTAAAGGATGTGCAAAACTGCAAGTCACATCACTGTTCTGTTAGACATATGCATACAGGCTTATGAAATGTTGTGGGGGCCCTTCTCAGGCCTTGACACTGCGCTGCTGGTGTCTTTGTGGTGAGCTTGCTTTTGAGGAGATGAGAGGCAGCAGCAGAGTTTGATTTATGCCTTTGTCTTCTTAACAGTCATTTCCTCAGCCAGAGGAGCGCTTAGCCCTGGATCTCCAGTTTTCCAGCCCAAGCCCCTGCAATGTAAAAGTGCCTATGTGCTGTTTGGCTCTCCTGCTTTAAAGGATGGAATGCTGGTTATGCATAAAAAAGATGGAAATATATCCTGCTATATTAAAAAATCATATTAAGGAATAGGACACTTCCATGCTGTTGATCTTCCTCCCAACAGGAATGGGACTTGTAGCCATTAAAAATCTGCTGCTGCTTGCCACAGGAGCAACATAACTAAGCAGCGTAGCAAAATTTGAAAGCTGGCATGGAAATAAGGTAAGGCCTGTGGAAGCTCATGCTTCCCTGTTCCGCCTTCCCTTGACACAGCCCAGAAAGCTGAGAGTGCCTTGGTGGCTATGCAGACATGGGTGCCAGACATGTTCACAAGTAGAGGGGACTGCAAAAACAATTCACACTGAAGTCAATCAATGTATCTCAGGTACATGTTATTCCACTACAGTTTTTGAGTTTCTCTGCCAGAAACAGACTGTGTATTCCCCAAGTTGAGTGAGGGAAGGAAGAAAAATTGAATTAAAATTCTGGTAGAATCAGCATGACAAGTGAGGCAATCCATGGCTATGCAAACTTGTCTTTAATAAAATGCTTCTCTTTTTTTTCATTTAGAACATGGAAAAACTCCACAAGTCTGTGCAATAAAACCTTGTAAGTTCAGAATTAACTAGGTATTGTTAATGAGACACTGAGGTTGTAAAATAATACAGTTTAGGCAATAAGTACAAAAGACAAAAGTGTTAATAATCTACGTGCCATCATGGTGTGCATTCCATCTGCTGAGATGCAAAATGGCCTAGCAATGACCCCTGGTACATGAAATTAAACTTTAATTTGCTTTACACAACAAGACGCCTTCATCTGAAAAAAATACCACATCAGAACTGGAGACAGCTTGAACTCCTTGTCTTTTTCATGATGGAATAGGTAGCTTCCATGTATTCTTGTTATACCTAAGAACTACACAAATTCTAGATTTTTCAGTGTGCTAGAAGAGTGTTTTGGGAGAAGTGTCACTGCTTGTTTTACACCTCTACTAGGAACACTGATTTGTAATGATTTTACTCATTTGTAAGAAAATCAAATGCCCTCCTTGAAATAACGGAGGATTGAGGAGAACTGATTGTGGAGCAAAATAGATAAATTGATGTCCCATCACTTCAGACAGCTCATGGGGAGAATGCGCTTCCTGTTGGATCTGTTTTGTTTGGAACAATTATGCTTTTATATAGAAAGTGAATTCATTTTTGAATGCATTCATAGCCTTGGTTTTCTGGAAACCAACAGTGTTTCAAAACAATTTGCAAAATTGAGCTATAGAATCAAATAAATTAAATGTATCTGTGAAATACAGAGGGTGCTGCCAAGAAATCCTTCATGAAAATGATTAAATAAGTGGGGGAAAAGGAATGGATCTATCTAGAATACAAAAAGCAGTCTAAGAAAATGTAAGTTAGTAAGCATGCGGATAGTAGGACCTTGGTCTGAGCACTATATTTTGCACAGTTTAGAACACAGCTAAAAATTCAGTCTAAGTGGAACAGAAAATATTGGTGAAAACTGAGGCATGATTGTTGGATCATGATGTTCTGCAGGAGAGATAGAGGTGACATGAGGAACTGTGTGAAAAATGTTAGCACTGTAAGGGAAGGACTCAGACAAACTCTTCAAAGCTAATCTAAAGTCTTAGAACGGAACAGTGATTTTCCACATGGACAGTGTTGTCATGAGTTGTGACAGCCTGGGTCAAGACTAGGGAAAAAGAATGCTTCTGTAAATAATGATATTTATAAAGYCTAGACCGCATTCAACAGAAGGATGACATTATTTTCCATTTATCAGCCCATTCSAGATACTGGGAAAGCACTTGATCTRTGGGAAAGTTAATGTAGTAGTGGGGGCTAGAAAAGTTTTTCCTAATTGTTCTGGGAAATCAGGAACATTCATTGTGACTAATAGACACATGCATAGTCTGTATGCATAGGATATAGAAATCACAGATCAAACTGATATGAATTCAAAACCAAACTCTTCCCTACACCTGCATCTGTACACCTGTCTCCTGAGTTGGACAACTTGGCAAATCCCCCTGCCATTCAGTTTCAATGCCTTCCACAAYGTGAGTAGCCGAGGGGAAGGAAGGAAGAGAGGTGGAGTAGGAGGATAGTACTCTTTGCCCCATGGAACAAGGAGAAACATTATGGCTGGAAAGAGACAAAGCACTCCAGGAAAACAAGAAAACAAGTCCTCATGCAGTGATAAACTTGACCCAGACTTAGGACTCCTACACTGATGGTGCCATGTTACAGCCCTCTGCTGAGGGCCTTGGCGGTTTATCATATCAAATAAAGTACTTCTGTCTCATTCTGTTGACCTGCTGGATTCAATAGAGAAAACCCTAAAATACACACGTGGACAAAACAAAAGCTCCTGAGGCCTTTTCCTGTGAAGATGAAGGTAAGCTGATCTCTGAAGATAAGCAAAATTTAAGTTTAAAAATGATTTTAAATTAAAAAAGAATTAAATTTTAAATGTGACCCTGTACCAGGAGATCAATGCTTCTCTCTGGAAAAAAGCTGTTACACTGGGACTGAAGCATTCTAATGTGCTCTGAGGTGAAGTGCTTGGGATCAAGGACCTGAGGAGCTTTTTAAGTTTGAATGTGTTTGTGCTTGTTGGCCATGGGGCTGGGGCTGGGTCCTCAAATGAGTGTCTCAGTGAGGAACACCCCCAGGCTGCTGACACCGGCAGAAGGGAGCCATGCACGGACCTGCCATGTGTGTGACTTGCTTCCTGCCTATTGCTCTCCAGGCCCTCTTCATCAATGTGTGCGCTTTATGTGCTTTGAGGAAATCAGCTGCGATGCTCTACYTGTGTCTTGCATTTCATTTTTTGCAAATGGTGTATGTATTTAACATAATAAATGTTAAATGGAGGGAGCTGAGGCGCTCCAGAGGTATTCCTTAATACTGTCTTTACTAATGATGCTGAAGTTTTAATAATGTTGTGATCAGTGCTTCAAGGCAGATAGTGCTTCCAAATGCRCAGTCATTCACTGTCATCCCATGCYGCAGAACTTCTTTCAGGATTAAAAACACTACTAYAACCAACTCCATATTGAACAAGACTAGYCATAGCAAGAATCTCTGTATTGAACAAGACTAGTCATAGCAAGAATCTCTGTTTACTTCCTTAGAACAAGTTTGTTGTCTTCCTTYGCTTCCAGCTATTCCCAAAAGAAGTTTTTTAAGCACTGCAAATAAACAAACAAAGGGGTTAGATTCCAAGTGCGTCACACTTACAGGAGCCAGTCTACAGCAATGATGAGGGTGACGTCTTCAGCGGGCAGGCCCACGGCGCTCAGCACGATGACCATGGTGACGAGCCCGGCCTGCGGCACGCCCGCAGCTCCGATGCTGGCTGCCGTAGCTGTCACACTGGAAAGCCAAAGAAGGGCAGGAAAGGGCACTCAGAAAACACGCCACTCACAKAGGCTGCGTATTCCCACACACTTACACTTATTACACTGCAAGAAACTTGGAGAAACATGCAGTTTTCCTCCTGAATAGTATCTATACAGTCTGGAGACAAATTTATGGGACAAGTCATATAAAGATACTTTTAACCAGTGCCTCTACAGATACAGTAATTTATAATATTTGGAGCAGATTCTGTTTTTCCTTGGCCAGCCAAAAAGAACTATCATAGTTATACTGTGCAGTAAGATGGAAAAATACTTCTGGTGTACAAAATGGGGATAGGAGTGGAAAAGACTGGGTTAGACTGGCAAGTATTTGCCTTAAGAGAATGGGGTCAATATCCAAAACAGTGTGCTTGTCTACCAACTGCCTGCCTAGGCCAGCTCCTCATCAGGTTGCACAGGCAAGGCCTTGGAACAAGAAGTGGGAATATGTCTGTCATTTCCACCGCTGCGATTGATAGTTTCAGCTTTCTGAAGGGGTATCCAAAGCAAACGGATCACTCATTAAAAAAAAAAAAAACACAAAGAAGATCTCTGTGATGGTTTTAGTCTTACCTTATGGTAATTATTTGGCCAATATCCAATTCTAAGTCATTCAGCTGTGCAATAAATATAGCTGCCACTGCTTCATACAGAGCTGTGCCATCCATGTTGATGGTAGCTCCAACTGGAAGCACAAACCTGGTAATTCTTTTGTCAACAAAGTTCTTTTCTTCTGCACAGCGAAAGGTGACAGGCAAAGTTGCTGAACTGAAACACAGATAAATAGATAAAATAAGTCCAGATTAGAGTGTACCATTCTCTTTATAAGTATGATCTATTCTAAGGATCAAATGAAGATCTAAGACAGTCAGAAAGGCTGTAGTATGAGGTTTTGATTATGAAGTTTGCTCTTAAAACTAAGTAACACTCGCTATGTCTTCTAAATAAGGGAAGGAAGAACAAAGATTGAGTTAGTTATCCTCTACAGAGTAAAATCTTAATGATGTGTGCAGTCATAGAAACACTAAAAGAGTTTTAATTGTGAGTAACAAAATGAATGGCCAAAGAATTATGTTGTGAATTTATACTGGGAGAGAAAGTCACAAATCTGGTGTAAGGCCATTGTGATTCCATTGCAATCTATAGTGCCTTTTTAGGTCCTTCAGAACTAATGGAGTATTTTAGCATTCAGCTTTCAGTGATTTATAATTGTCCAGGTGAAGTCATGAAAAGTGACCAAGTAGCAGTAAAATCACAGAAAAACAATCAATCATGCAATTACTACTAAAAACATTATATAAAATATTTCTTTTTCTGCTTACCTGGAAGAAACCATGAGGGCCGTCAGAAGTGCTTGAGCCATCCCCATGGCAAACCGAAAAGGATTTTTCCGTACTATTATTAAGTAGATCAATGGCAGAATTACAGTGGAATGGATTGCAAGTCTGCAAAACAAAACATTGGATCCATTTCACTGCATAGCTTTAATAAAATGGTGAGAGCTGCCATCAGATCCAAGTGTGAAATTTCTCATGACTTTAAAGATAATTATGTTCAAAGTACAGAGAATATACTGTCTAAATAAACTGCAGACAGCAGAGGAGCTTTAGCTCTTCTATTTATTCTATCAGAGGAGAGGGARAGATTGTTACTTGCCTCTGCCTCTACAGCAGCAGATGTGATTAATTAATACATTGGAAATGTATTTTAATTTTACAAATTACAAACAAGGTCTCTAGGTTGGGCCAGATTAACCTTTCTATAGAAGCTTCAAAGAAAATCATAAACTATCCCCTCTCCCCCATGTTTTTATGTAGTGGAAAATTGTATAAGGTTATGTCTATGATGCAAATATTTTTAAAATTGATTTATTAAAAAAACACTGAGGTATTTCAGACTGTGCAAATATACAAATATGTAGTCTTACCATCTTCCATATCGTAAGATGCTTGGAAACCCATCTCAGAACTGTGGTGTGCACAGCCTTGGGATTTTTATTATGTCCTAACAGGATGTTCTTGGGCACATTACTGTTGTAATAGTGCTTTATGATTTCAAAGCAACTGATAAAGATGTTGATAAATCATGGTACTACTTGTTCTGCCAAATCTAGACACTAAGACAGCAGTAGCCACCTACCATGCAGACATTTACAAGTGAACAATGTCTCCCCCTAAAAGAAAACAACTAGATAGTTATTTCCTTGGAAAGAAAAATATTTTTTAAAAGCCCAAGAGTATTAACAGTTTCATTCTTTATGTGAACAAATGATCTGGTTATAGTGAATTGTAAATGAAAGCTTGCATGACTTATCAATGAAATTTTGTAAAAGAAATCTAAAAAAAACCCTAACACTTTTACACAATGCTATGTAGTAGCAAACTGAATTCACAAGAGCAAATACAAGAAAATATTAGTAATGGAATATTTATATTGTTGTGTGTCTTAAATACAGAGGCTAAAATTTTCAGCTATGTCTGTATCATTTAGAAGCCTAAGGACTTTCAAATAAAGTTATTATGAAAATCTTAGTTCTGCATTTTATTATCATCAGCAAGAATTCAGCATTAAACAAAATAAACGCAGCTGTGCATATATTATTTTTCACAAAATTAATTATAATATTGATTTGCATGCATAAAATACAAATCCCTGCAAACAGCAGAATTTTTGGTAGCAGATATTCCAATCTGCAACTGAAAACAGAAATTCTTACATCATTCCCTCTAAGATGGGAAGGATAAWATCATCCTTCAAAATCCCAATGTGGCTGTTTTTGCAGCACATGGATATTCAGTTTCCTTGCTGTTTTCAAAAGAGGCAAAGGAGAAGATAAGAGGCGCCTGCTCAGCACAGCTTCCCTTCTCTTCCTCAAGCTGAGGTTCCTCTGACATTTGTTCTCGGCGTCCCACTCAGTTTCTGTCCTTCCTGACTGCCATCACATCCCTGTCCTGGCACTGCCATGAGGGAAAGCAAGAGGCTTGGGATATTAAGTGGCCAATGGAGGAAGGGGAGCTTGGAGAGGGAACGACTGTTCTCTCACAGTGACCTCACGAGACTGAAGGGCTGAGACATTTCGCGGACACGGAGGTGAGAGCTGAATGCAGATAGGAAAGGCTGTGAATAATGGAGTTGGGAAGAAGCTAAGTTAGGAGATGAGCTGGAAAGGGAAGGCAGAGGAGTGAAAGAGAGGATGAGACATCCCTGTGCTTGCAAGTATCTTTTTTTTTTTTTTTTTTTTCCAAGAAATATCAGAAAAATGTCTAAGATGACAGGTACTTCTCAGGACCATGCTTAAAGGTGGGGGCAAAGAGAAAGATAACTGCAGAAGATGCCGATAATTATTGGAACTGCAGCAGAGATGGCCAAGGATGAAGAAAAGCAAGAAAAGTGTGAGGAGCAGGTGAGGGCAGGAACCCAACACAGAGGAAGGAACATGTTCTCTTGCACACCAAGAGGCAGAAGAAAGGGCACTCTGCACACTGCGGGCTGGAAATGCAGGACAGGCACCTCTTCCCTGCAGCCTCATGGATATGTTGGTGTTCTCTACTGCAAGCCCTCCCTGCAGGGCAGCCTCCAAGTAAAGAGTGTTGCTGTTTGCCCTTCTGCATAAGGGCATAAGAGATGCAAGAGACGCATAAGAGATGGGACAGCTGCAGACCTCTGTCCAAGCAGCCTTTGGGGAAAACTGTGGAATATGTAACGGGGTTTTGCTAAACAGTGGCTGCTGTCAGGAKGCAAAGCTGGTCACTCACTCAAATATCACTAGCTGTACCTGCACACACTTTCCAGCTAAACGACAGAGTCTATGTGCTGGGACTTCGCTTTGCAAAGGACTCTGGAGAAGTGACTGTGTCTTCATACACATCTTGTCACGGGACAAATAGTAACTGCTACTTGACTGCTACCTGAACCAGTTTTTTGAACCATCATAAAACTTGTTTGATCTAAAACTGAAGGGAAAGGGCAACAATAATCCATCTACAGTAGTCTTTCTTGGAGTTATAAATCTAAAACCCCCTTAAGTTATATAGTATCATTCTGTAAGTTATATCTTCCTCATGTGTGATCATAGTTACAATTTATATGTAAAGTATTAGTCTTTTGTCTGTTCTTAAACACCACTGTTTTTTATCCGTTAGAAGGAAGATTTCTTTTCCAAGATTAAAATGGAAATTTATAGAAACAAGCATTATGCATTAGACAAGCATAGCTTCAACTTGTAGTATTTTGAAAGAATCATGATTCAGTGTTATATCTGAAGCTGTATTATCCACTTAGAAAATGACTACATCTCAAATGTCTTTTGAACAACTAGTACAAACATATTGGCATATATGTATAAAACAAAGAAACAMACAAGCAAAGAAACAAACAAAAAAGCATATCCTTCTTGACAATTTATTGGGATTTTTTCAATTAAAACAATATCTTTTTGCTTGATTGTCARAAAACTGTGAATTACTTTTGAAAGATAGCATATGTAAGTATTAAGGGTTGGTGTTGAAAGAAGAAGCTCTTGAACAACTTTGGATCTAGTCTGTAGACAAAATATAAATAAATCCTAAGTATGTTGAAAGAATTATAGGAGTGGATGCTAAGGCAATGAACCAAAACAGCCCAGAAGCTATGCTTCACTGAGTTGGAAATAGAAATGTAAATGCATTTAACTTATTGAGCCTGTAATATCCATTTRTCTTTCCAAAGGGTCATTTGTAGGGTATTTATCCACAGCTATATAATGATCTAGCATTACAAACTATATCACTTGGAGCAGTTATTTGCCCTTTCTTATGCATGAGGCCCACATCTGAGAAAGGGTTTGTGCAGGGTAACTGCATGGCCYTCCCAAACACTCCAGACTGTTCTACCCTGTCACAGGCCTAGAGTCAGGATATAACCTGCTTTGGTGCTTGGTTATGTTATGCTGGTAACAAATGCTGCTTTGGAGCTTCACCAGGTTCCTTTACCTAGAAGGAGGATGACTAAAGAGCTGTTCTGAGGGGCTCCCTGGGTTTTAGCTGCTCTTGGTTGTGGAGAGTGGGGGTCATTTTCTTTTATGGCTATAATTTAATGTTCAGTGCCTTTTCGGTGCATCTGTGTTCTGCAGTGAACCTGATCTATGCTGGTACACCTTATCCCGAGGAGATTCTGAATGAAACCATATATTGAAGGTCTTTTCCAACCATAATGTTTCTGTGATTCCATGATTAAATAGTTTGAATGGGCTGGGTTTCAGTGGGCTATAATGCAGCTCCTCACCCTTTCCAACTTCTCCTAGAATCTAAAAGAAATATTACATTCTGAAGAATACAATAATCTTATCTGTTTCAGCATCAAGTGAGAGGAAGATAAAATAATGAGAACAAGAACTGGCTTTTTTTTTTTTTTTTTCAGAATGCAAGTGACTGACTTTCTAGAACAAAAGTGCATTCAAAACAGCCTCACATAATGTTCATYGGGAGCAATTTTTGTCTCTGAGGCAGAAAAGGTTGGTTCTTGTGGATAATGAAATTATAAACAGCTGAGCTTCAAAAATGACCTATATTTAATTTCATCTTTAGGAAATGACATACCCACTTAATACTGTAGCCATATAAAGACCCAGTTTACGAAAGATCTCCCAGTCATCGACTTCTATTATCTTCCCAGCAATTAAAAACATGATACCGAGCGGCATATACCTAGAAAACAGAAGTAAAGCAATTAAAAATACATTCTTAGAAATGTTATGTGCTCATCAGTATGCAACAACTTGCAGAATAGAAATTTTTAAAAGGTGTAAAAATTTTCTCTGGTATTCTATTACACAACTGAATTTATTCACTTGCTGCAAGATTACAACCACAGCRATGAAAAGGGATTAGAAGATCAAAATACATTTATTCTGCATGACTTGGAGTCACAGGACACAGAGAATTTGGGAGAAAGTGTGCATGCTTTGCCTAACTGCAGCAAATGTTCCACATGTCTAAGCCATACTTGGAGATGGAAGGACTTGTGGGGCTGCGACCTAAATCTGCTCCTTCTGCAGTGCTACAGTCAGYTTACAGGCGGGATCCTTGCTCTCACGGCAGGGGAGCAGGCCGGGGTGCTGCTGGGGGCGACTGCTGCAGCGCGAGGCAGTCTGCTTCACAGGGCTGCAGCTCTGCGGAGGACGGCACCCCTGGCCAGCACTGGGCAAGTTGCAGAGACTCGTTCATATCTCTCCAGAGATCTCTCTTGCAGAGCAGCCCTGTAGCCCTGCAYAGCTACGCTGTTTTACAGGACCTCAGGCTATGCTAAAATGGGGAGAAAATTCACAAAAGGGCCTCATCTAGTAAGTTTCTAATAGTGTAAAGCGTGTGGATATGAGTAGTTTGTGACAGTAAATAACACAACACATCCCAATTGTAGGATCAAACTCGAGAAAGATTGGGTGTGCTTATAAACCTGATTCTATACTGTGAACTGCACCAGCTTTGCAGGAAGAAGCTCTGTGAATCGTTGTGAGGTCCAGTCGGGCACCGGCAGGTGAGCTGCTATGTTCCCACACATAAGCAGTGTCATCTGTTTTTTTCTGTCCCTAAAAAAACAGTGTCATCTTATAAAACCTATTAGCACTGCTAAATACTAAGTTGTATCCTGAATACTATTTTAGATTTTGGTCTGTGCTGTGGCTTTTGCTACTTCTGTTTCTAAAGCAACTGAGCTCCAAGGACAGTTAATATGTGAATTCAATGGCTATTTGTTAGRAGTTATTTCATAGTATTTTGTTCAAAATGGAGAAGGGAATACAGACAGTGATGCTTTTACAGTCCTCAAACTACATTCAGATTTACTACTTTGATGTAAACCCTGAGGCAGAATGTTTGAACAACTGAAGTTTCCTGTGTCCAAGTGGGACTATTTTTTTAATATAGTAAGTGGGAGTGTTCTCTCCAGTTTCCTCAAAAGGATCCAATTTTTGTACAGACAGAACTGTTTACCACCTTTCCTTTCAAAGTTTCTTGCTGCAAAGCATTATACAAAAGAAAATGTAATGGAGTCTGCTCCAACAATTTTGATGACAAAGTGCACTTAAAGAGGCATTAGAAAATGCCAGTACGTCCTTGGACTTACCACATGATTATCTGAACTATTCTCATGGTAGCTTCATTTAGTGCATTGAAAAAATCCACCAGCACTCGTCCCTTCTCTCCCATTTTCCCAATAACAACTCCGAAAACAAGACAAAAGATGATCAAGCCCAGCACATTGATGCCATCAGAATACATGCCCACAACTTTATATTCTTGGGTTTTGTTCTGTAGATTGAAGAGAAAAAAGGTTGCCATCTCAGAACACTGAAATTATTTTAGAGTGCTAAAATGAAAATGCCTTTAGGTTTCTCTATGAAACGATACGGACATCTTCTTCCCAGGCAATCTATTCTAATTCTGACAGTGTCAAGTGGTCAAATGAAAGTAGTTAAATTACCTTTACAATCTCTGTATTTTAAATTATGCAAGAACCTAATCATATCCTAGCACTGCATAAAGCATGACTAATTTATGTTGCCCTTTCAAACCACTTCTGACAGASAGAATGGCAAAATCTAGGCATCCTCCATCATAAATTCAGCATATACAATGGCTACTCCCCAGCTACTGTGAGGAATAAAATATGGATGTAGAATCCTTGTAGTCATTTCTGTGTAACACAGGTTTTATGGTCAGACTTATGAAAAATTGTCCACTTTCTGAGAAGTACGAAAATAACGTCCAATTTTGTTCCTCGTTAAAAATCTATTGCTCAGATAAAATCAATGAAATTGCATAATTAATCACAGATTCTGAAGCATATCACATAAAAACCCTACTAAACACACAGTCCTTTGTGTGAATGCAATATGAATAGATGAAGGAAAATTATTCACTGAGGGTGCGATTCTCTACTGCATATTGCTTTGGGATTTAACTAACCTCCTTTCATTTAGCTCGCATCCCATGCTGTTATTATTATGAGATGAAATTTGTATTGTTCATAGTTCTATATTCATAATGCTATTGAATTTCTTCTTCCCTTCAGTGTAATCCTAGGCTTTTTTTTTTGGCACAGCAACAAGCAAGCTTTTAATTAATAACATACTTGCCATTGTTTTGCTTTCCATTTCAAGTATTTTTGTACGATTTTCTGTTCTTTCTGCCATTCCCATAGTTACCTCACTGCTGCTTAAACATCTGATAATATAAACTGAGTTAAACAACTGTGAATATATACTCAACTTCCCTAAAGAATGTATTCTTTGATTTCACAGCAATTTTACAGTGTATGAGCTTACACCATAATGGAGTACATATGGGTTATTTTCCACATCTTCTATTATCTTTACCATGTTTAATTGGAGTCCTCTGCTTTTCTGATATCCAACTGAAGAGCCTCAAAATTACCTTCAGCATTTACCTAGCAAGTTTTATCTCCTTGATAAGGCTTATCTATGTGCCATTTCCTTCCTTTTCTGAGACTTTAACATATCAACTAAACCAAATTTCAGTCTAATTCTACCTATATAGATTGTACAGAAATATAAACAATCAACAAAGGTCGCACCTCTGAAACCTCGGACATCATGACAATCGCCACAATATCTTCTCTAGACATGGAGCCATTTTTTAACACGCCACTTGTAACATCCACTTTTTCACGTTTGGTTTTATACTGAAAGAGTTTTTCAAAAAATAGAAGAGTTACTTAGAAATATGAGGAAATTGAGGAGTGGACAAAGGCGCTGTTGGAAAGGCACTAAGGGAAAGAGGAATGTGAGCCATCATGGTTCTCTAGTCAAGACACTAAATGAAGCAAATGATACAGAGAAAGGAAAATACACTATAAACCAGGCTCTTGAGGCTCCTGGATGTCTGACAGTCCTTTAYGGGATAAGATAAAGCTTCTGACAACGACTAGGCCATTTTCTGCTGGAACAAGCAGTTGGTTCTTGGATAGGTAAGTAGTGAAGGTGTTTACAGCCTTCATTGCCGGCAGGGAATCTCTAGCATCCTGCTTTGAAGATAATTACAGCAATAGTGTAATTGAGGGTCTTTTCCAGCTTCAGTCTTTGAGAGAAATTTAGGACAGGATTCTGTACCTCAGCAAGGTAGCAGGCTTATTCCTGAAGTAGTTAACATGCAAGAATAAATGTGTGAAAGGCTTTGTAAACTGCAAATACACTCAGTGCTGTGTAAAGAAGACAGTTAACACCATTTCCTATGAAAGGTTAGCTATCTGCCATACAAATTTCAGTGCAATTAGCAGAAAACTGCTGCAGAAAAGGAAAAAAGGGAAGCAGAGAGTGTCACAAAACATGATTTATTTATGGATAAATGTGATTGAAGACTGCTATATGGGCAGAGGTTTCCTCTTTCATCTTCCAAATCTCAGAGATGCCTCAAATAGATTCTAACATCTGGCTATCTCTTCTTCAAGGTATCACCAGGTCTAKCAATGGACATTAGATGAAAGACACACAGAGTGAGGGTTGAATTACATAAATTTCATCAGATATTGAGAGTTTTTAGGAACAAGGCTGCAGATTCTAATAACATGCTTCTTATAACTTTGCCTGCTCCTAAAGGGAAAAAATGGTGTACTAATAAACTGCTAACTTCTCAGTGGTGTCTTTTTGTAAGGGATGATAAAGAATTTATGAATTGAGAACAAGGTATAATCAAAATGGAAAGGAAAAGAAGATGCCTAAGAAAAGCTTTTCTATGGGAATTCAAGAGACTCCTGGACTTCTCATAAATAATTCTTACAGACTTTTCCAAAGGAAAACATGGTATGTTTTTAAGAGGACATTAATTAAGTAGAATTGTTAGCAAGGAAAAGTACAGTAACAAACAGAGATGTTCAACTTACCTGTTGAAAACAGGCTTGGACAAGGTTTTCTGGGAACATATTCCTGTTAAAGAAATTACAGACATTTCAATATTATAGTATACTATGAATAAGGTGAATTTTTAAAAAAATGATATGATCTGGTGTGGAAAGACAGATTAGAGAACGTTGCCTCAACAGAAAGCAGTGTAATTAGCACTGCCAAATCAAGTCCAATAGAGACAGRGCTTCAGGATTTCCAAAAAGCAGGTGATTGTTTTCCTGTTGTAGAATTCCTAAGCTCATTTTTCAATATATGACATTTCCTTGACCAGCTCCTGAACTCATTGCTTTTTCTCCATTGATTAATTACCCAAAGAATACAAGAGAGAGTCTAAAGTCAATTTTATAGGATTTATCATGTATAACTTAGAAAGAAGAAAAATAGTCCTTATAACACTGGGCTGAAATAGATTTAGCTACAAGAGAAATAGACATTTGGTAGTATGCTGTAATTTTGAACTCAGAAATTAATGCTGGCTGACGGAAGATGTATTTATTACAGAATCAAAAACTACTTCATGCACTGAAAAGTTATAAAACTAGTGCGGAAATACTGAAACACAGCTGCTTGCCTCCTTCCTTCCAATGGCCCATTCAAGATGTAAAGGAAGACTGCAGAAAGCAGAAGTACGTAGGTAATTACGGAATGCATGGCCCAGTGAAGAAGATGACAATTCACATAACGAAGCAAGAGCCTTTAACTCCATTCCAGATCTCTTGCAAAATACTGACTTTTAAAGTAGCTTGTACAAACTTATGATTTAGCTTTATCTTTACAAGATCAACTGTATTTGGCTATTACATATGATGAACATAAACATATGGAACATATGGAAAAATACAGTATCAGTTGTTACGATGTTGTCTAGAACAGTGTTTTCTCCAARTAACACTGGACAGCATTTATACCACATTACACTTAGAAATGCATATGCATTTATTTTCTAGGTCTCTGCAACATGGGTATGGAAATGTTTAAGAAAACTTCTCACCTGATCAGATCCAGCAAAGTATCAACAGTAGTGACTTCAGGGGTACTGCCCACTCTCACTATCTCTTCTGCTCTTTGAGATGCTCCGGGCTTAAAAATCACAACTAACACAATCCCTGCAGAATGGAAAAAAGCGCAGTGCAAACTCGGGCAAGTCTTAGCCTATCTTGTGTGGCTAAATGCTTATTGCTCAGTGATGTTTCCCGGACACCCAGGGCTGTTCAGAAAGAGAAGTCCTCAGCTAGCATCCTTAAATGAGTGGCTTCTTTCAAAACTGGAGCAAYTGCAGCATTGCCACTGGACTTGGGCATTCTAGCTTTATTTTTACTTCTATGCTACTAAATCACTGCTCACTAGGAAGGACAAATTACTTCAGCTGGGCTTCAGATTAAGTATTTTGCAAATTCTGCACGGTGATATTTTGAATTGCCATTTGCCTTTTCTCTCACACCACTTTTTTCAATACTATATTATACATTTTTCTATTTGAGAACCAGCCACAATCTATCATTTTGCTATGGAGAAAATTCACTTTGTACCAAAAACTTACAAGGGTCACTGTTTACCTAAGCCAGACATCTGTTTTGAGCTGAAATTTATGTCATAGTTCCTGTAGCTTTATATAAGGAAATTRAACAAAGCCTAATGTGAACAGCGGGACCATCTTCTTTCTGCTACAAATATGCCATCATGTTTCATATGATTCTTGCCTCCCCTCCCCATACAGTTTTGGAAAATTAGCATTGTTACAGTGCTGTACATTTGCAATTAGGCCGTGCTGAGGAGGTTAACACAATATTACAGTACCTAGAATCACAGCAAGGGCAGTAGTGCAGAAATAATATATAATTGCCCGCAAACCAATCTTCCCAGAAATGCTGGAATCCAAAGCAGCAACACCTGCAAAAGRAAGCGCAAATAAAGCATTAGGAAACAATCTTAAGAAGCCTTTTTTTTTAATTATTTTTTCCTCAGAATGGCTTATGGCTTATATCTAAACAGGAAATATATACTTACTCTATAAATATTTCTAATTGCCCATTGCCGCTCTGAAAAGCATACCAACTTGACACTATTTTTTTTTCACTGTTTTCCCTGGATTTTAACTTTGGAAAAGCTAATTAAGCGTTACTGATACCCTTAAGTTGATCATGGATTAAATTTCCTGGATCTAAGGACAATATCTTTCCATCTGTTACCATGCTTACCTAACCCTTTTCCTCAAATGTATAGCATTTCATCTTTAAAAACAGGGACCGGGGAAGGCAGCATCTGTGCTGCTCAGAGCTGTTATCCCAGGCTGCTCAAAGGTACAAACAGGATACGTAAGAAACTGTTTCATTATGGCACAGTGGCTTATTTTCTCTTTTTTTCCTTTTTCTTCTTTTTCTTCTTTTTCTTCTTTCTTTTCTCAAGACTGGGCTGTTCCTAGTCCTCTGTCTGAATGTGTCATTGCCAGCACCTGGGGACAGCTTTTGTTAGTGTAGGTGGAGCAATGCTGACATAGACATTGCACTTCTTGCAACAACATTATATCAAACTGCTTTTAAAACATTCAAAAGRTTTAGCTTTATACCTCTGCAATTACAATTCAGTAACATTGTGACTGTTGAACTTGACAGTCTATAATCACACAAGTTATTTATTCACAGATATCTATTGATTATACATTTGTGATCCATTACATTTTTATGTTTATTGAGTCCTATTCTCAAAAGCTGACCAGATTGCTCTGCATAGGACAGAAAAAATACCAGTATGACGTTTAATCTCACAGGAGCATGATTTGTAATGACAATGATGCTTCACAAACTAAAACAAGTCAAAGACAGTTCTGACAATAATGTATTTTATTGATCCTTGAGCTAGAAGGGATCTTAGGAACTATATTTCAATCACTTGTTGGCATCTTTTCCAGAAGATACATTAACAGGAACAGCATGAGCCTAGAGCCTTCTATAATGCTTTACCTGTTCTCTTGTTATTCAAAATGCATGTAGTGAGGGAGAATGAAGGTTATTTTATTCTATCATCTATTTGATTACTTTGGGGTCTTCCATGGGACAGCATAAASAACTACATATACATGGAGAATGATTTAGAGACCATCTAACCTGCAAAAGCAAATAGTGATTTCCTGGGTCTAAGGACATACAAATATACAATAAAAATGTATTTGTATGGCAGTGGAGTATAGACTAATGCACAGGAAAAGAAAAACAAAACAACAACACTGAACAAAAAACACTGCCACATCTATTATGGGAGGCTGTCAGCACTATCAGTCTTSTCTGAGCACAAAAAACAGAATGGACACAGAGGCTGCACTATCATTTTCATTTCTCAYCTGGGAACTGGGGTAAAACTGGGTGGAAGGAAGACACTCACATCGYTCTTGGAAATAGTTAATAGCCAGTAATGGGCATTATGTTTGTTCTGTGGTTAACAGAAAATTGGTTTCAAATGCAGGCAAGCTTTTGTAGCTTTTGCAACTGAAAACAGGAAAATGTTCTATGTCTTTACTAGAGAAGTCCATAAAGATTAGAAATCTCTTAATTTTATACTAATACCTATATAAGCTGTCAGTAGAGGTTAAGCAGTCAGCAGAGGTAAGACATCTTATCAAAGGATGGAGTTTTCCACAAAGCTCRTTTTTAAATATTTTTGCCTGACAGTGCAGCTGACTCAATTTACTGTAATAATTATTCAGGTTTATTTCCCCAGGATAGTCAGTTATAAAGACTTTATAACTACCACAGCATAAAACTCCTGTGATGGCAATTCTGCCTGCTCCAAATGAAGCCCTTTGCAAACTAMAACGTCCAATGCAGTTACAGAGGAATAATTTAAGACAGTGTTTACTCAGCATTTTTAAATCAGATAGGGATGCTCTTACAGGGTAAGYCATGTTAGAATCTAGCTTGTGCTTTCGCTGCCATGTCATTCATGTTTTTCTAGTAGCTGTAAAAGAAGAACAAAATCGGTCATGCTGGCATGACTGGATAAGTAAGAGGAATATCTCTCCTAGGTATGATCTTTTCAGAAAAGAGCCGTACTCAGGAAACAAAACTGGATTCAKAATTATACTTCTGTTTAAAGAATGAAATCACATTCATCATGCATTCTACACAAGTAGGCACTGGGTCTTTTATTCTGCTGAGTGGCCTTTTTAATGTTAACTTGTCATTTATAGGAAAACAATGCACAAAAATAGATTTAATCACAGATATAGCTACTGTCATTAGTGAGCACATGATAATAGGTTATTCTGATAGCTGCTGGGCTTCCTCCCAATAACAACTAGAAATAAAATCCCCTTTGAAATAACACCATGGTATTATAGCTCCTGTGGGAATAACTGCAAGAGTTCATGGAGGCTTTATGAAATAAAATATTTCTCAAACTTATTAATTTCTCGAACTAAGACAGTACATATGCTGTTCAAAACTGAAAATGTGAACAATTTTAAATAAAATATAAGATCACAAAATAGTATAACAAATCTTGTTCATCTACCCTGATTTGCTCCTAAACTTTTATGTTTATTTAGTCTTTCTCTCACTTCTTAATATACAAATTTTTAACAACATTTAAAAAATATATTTGAGCAGATAAAGTCTATCTGTAGGTGTATTGTAGAAAATCTAAGGAGGCTTTTCCACCCCTAGGCATTTTAAAATCTCAGATTAGTTCTTTAAGATCTTCCGTGAGCAGTGTTCTGATTCACCCATACTCACTGGAGCAGGAATTTAATTCTGTGTATTTAGCAAAGCTTTGGGGAGAGTACATAGTATAGGAGAAGAATATACATATAGTATATAGAGGCCATGAATTGGTCTTAAAATCTATAAATATAGCCACCTCTTTATTAATGATATTTTACTCAATAAGAGTCTCAAGGCTTCAACACCYGGGGACAAATTTCTAATAAATTGCTAGTTTTCTGCAATTTGACCTCCATGCTTTTTTGTCACAATCTCCCACTCTTTGCTTAGTTTTTTTCTTTGCTTAGTTTTTCTCTTTTTGCCCTGTCTTTTCTACCTTGTAAAATATGCTCTTGTTAAAGAATAAAATAAGGAAACAGTGCAATAAAATCTCCCCATCTTCTCTTTCTTGTCCCAGGACCTCAAACTCAACAAATATGACATTCTGCACTGAATATGCACATTTTCTTATGGAAAGGATGGAAGAATAGGTAATATATTATTATTATTTAGTCATATTAATCATGACTATTAAAAAGCACCAAAATACAACAGGAAAGAAAATGGTATAGGAATCTGAAGAGATCTGAAGAGATACCTACATGTGGTTAAGATAYGTGTACCTCTCATTTTAAGTTTTAGGAAAGAAAGTAAAAGTCAGCTATTACCTACACTACAAGAGCTTTCTTTCTCTTTCTTTTTTTTTTCTTTTCTATGTATGTGAATTTTTTATAGTTGAACCTTTTAAATGATATTGTTAATTTAGCTTTCCTTTATTTTCATAGCTGACATTTTAGCATTACAACTAGAGGATTTCCTCTTTAGAAATAAACAACAAATAAACAAAAAAGACCAGAATGTTGTAAAACACACACACACATCCCCCCCCCCCCCAAAAAAAAAAAAAAAAAAAAAGCAAAACTGAATTTTGGCACAAGATTAGAAATTATTGTTTTCTTCCTGTGTTGCATTCAAACTGACTTTTACATTTGGAACACATGTTGCTAAAGCAAAAGAAAGGATATATTGCTTCCATGACTTTTTCTTTAGAAACACTGTTTCCTTGGTTGAAAGTATCCTAGTAAGATTGGGCGATARTGTAGATAATCTGGAATCTTTCAAGTATCTCTAGAATTTCCTTCACAATCTTATTTTGCTGTACCTTTTTAGACCTGTTTTGCTACCTTCTATTGTAGAAAGCTACTTTATTCACAGGAATATTCTGGTTTAAACAAAACGAGACAAAAATATGGAACAATCACTCCTGAAATTTTCATTAGTAGACACTGACTGACATATGAATTATTCTTTCAGGTCCTAAGAGAGTTGGGGAAAGTGTCAGGCTARCATAATGTAAGATTGCTGCTTCTTTGAATGCAAATATTTACATAGCTGTTTTTTTCCTGATAGGATCTCAGTTATTTGTTTTCATTATTTTAGGTATCACAGAGGAACAGAAAGTATTTCTCAATGAAGCTAAAGTTCACAAACTGCTGGAAAGGTTGCCACAAAGGTTTAAAATATCACTAAAATATATATCATCAAATAGTGATGACTGCTCAAAGATTCTTTCAGAATGAGGAATTCAGGTTTTTGTGCTTTCTGTGAAAAAATAGGTAACAAAAAAGTTTTTTTTTTAATTTTAATGCTGCTTCAAAAAGCTGTTTTTAATGTCCTAATGCAAAAAAAAAAAAATTAGTTTTTATTGTGCTCTCTCTGCTACTGAAAACAAASCTCTGCCCCTTGCTAAATACTGGAATGCCTCCATCTAACTACTGACAGACTCAACCTTTCTTGCTACACCTAGGTCAGTCTATAGGAAATTTTGTTAGTGAATATAAAAAGATTTTCAATTTCAATACTTCCCTTTCAGAAAGCTGTTCAGCTTTACTTAAAGCCTTTAAAAATGAAGGTTAATGTTCTAAAAATAAAGCTTAATGTTACAAGTAACAGAAACTAAACAACCAAAAACTCTGCAGGTGTCAGAACCAGGGAGATTATTCAAGCAAATTTATATGGTTGAAAGATAAAGCAGTCTTATCTGTAATTTCCAAATTGTCCCTGAAATTTGACTATTTGTGTTCCCAGACTTCTTAAAATTACAGTAACTTTTTTGTTAGCTTTATTTGTTTAAGTAGGTAGAATAGTCTAGATAAAACACCTCCAAGAAACTATTTCACAATTATGAGACGTAGG